ATTGTCTGAAGTCCTGACTTCCAAGTGGTCTAATTTGTTGGTGATGCTTTCAATTGAGCTTTCAATTTTGGTTTATTGTTTCTTTCATTTCAAGGATTTCTATTTGTTTGGTTTTGTTTTTGTTTGTTTGTTTGTTTGTTTGTTTTTTAGAACTCCTATCTTCCCATTGAAGTAATCTTTTGCTTCCTGTATTTGTTTATGTAGCTCTTTGTCAAAATGATCTTTTGCTGCCTGTATTTGCTATCTTATATCATCCTTTAATTCACAGAACATTTTAATCATGTACATCCTGAACTCCTTCTCTGTAATTTCTTCTGCTGTGCTGGCCATGGATTCTAATAATGTGGTGTCTTGATATGTTCAGGTCATTTTCTTCCCTTGTCTTTTCATATTGCTTGTGTGTCTTCCCTTCTAGCACTGTGGATCCAAGGTGTTACTGTTTTTACCCTATAGGCTTATAGCACTCCTGTAGAGATCCAATACCTCTCCTTTGAGGTGAATGACAATGTTATCAGATTCCAGTACAAACAGCATATACCCTAAAAACAAATGTTTGCTATTAAGACATTTATAGTTTGGTCACAATGTACAGAAATGGTGATTTCAATTATTATCTAAAATATATTCAGTAGGTTTGTAAAAGAATTTACAGTTTCTAATGGTGGACAAAGAACCAGGGAGTGAGGAATAGGAAGATATGGTGAGGATATAGAGTTGTTATATCTTAAGAAGTATGAAAGAGAAATTTAAAAAGGAAGATTAGTAGCAGGAGAAAGGAGAGGAAGCAATTTGGGGTAGACAATTAAGTGGGAAGACAGTAGAGTACATAAAACAAACACACATATATATTGAGAAAAATAATGTTAAAATAGTAGATATTGGTGGGATAAAAGTATATATATAAACACATACACAACACAGCTGTAATATACTATTCAGACATCCCAGTCCTTAAAATCCTAATTGGCACTTGGTTTCACATATGTTGGGGATGTGAGGGCAGGAGAATAGAGTGGAAGAGGGGGAAAAAATCTTGAAGGTAGAAACAGAATTGTTTTGGTTGGAAATCTGTGTTTTTCCTGCTTCCCTTCTCATCCAAGAGGTGGGGTTGTCTGTTGTTAACTGGTATCTCCACCCTCAGAGTGGTGAAAGTTAACCAGGGTGTCACTGTGCCAGGGTAGCAGCTGCTGGGGAGAGGAGGGAGTTAAAAACTGGACACCTGGCCAGCCAGAGTTCCAAAACTGGGATTTTCCCCCCACTGAAGATGATGATGAAGGTGGCCCAATATGGAGGCACCTGCTTTCAGCAGTAGGCTGTCAGGTTGTTTGGGGGGAGCCAAGTGATGGCGTTAGAGGATGAGTTCAGAAACTAGATCGTGCAGTGTGGCTGTCAGTTAACTTCAGAGCCTGTGTGAGGTTCTTGGGTGCAGGAAGACTACTGCACATAGGGGGCTACCTCCTCTGCTGCAGAGTCCCAAGATGGCGGTGACCAGGGAGCCCCACGTTGGTAGATGGGTGTCCACACAGGAGTGGCAGCCAAAGTTCCTGAATATGGGAAGCTGCCAGATGTCTACGTGGGAGCTGCATCTGTGATTTCTGCTCCGGTGGGTGGCCAAAAGTTCTGCATGGGTGCTGATGGTGCTGCTCTGGTACCCTACAGTCCTGCATAGGCAAGTAGTTGGGAGATCTACTCTGATGCTGAGGCCTGGAGCCCTGGAGGGGCACAATGGCCATGATCCCACATGGGAGCAGGAATTTTGCTTGCAGAGAAGCCGTATTCTCACAACTTGAGTCCCAGGTCATGGAGCAACATAGAATGCTTCCTCCCTCTGGCCCATCATCTTGGATCTCTCCTTGTTTATTTTTTTATGTGGTACTGAGGATCTAACTCAGTGCCTCATATGTGTGAGGCAAGCACTCTGCCACTGAGCCACAACTCCAGCCAAAGGTGGGCTTTTTTTAATGGGGCTACTAAATTGATAACTTTATCTGGTGGCAGTAAATGAATCTTTGCTGGAATGTTTTCCAGTGTAATTAGAGATTGTACCATATACATAAAATAAATACTATATCAATTCAAATTAAACAGTCTTTGGAATAATAGCCAAGGTGTGGAAACAACCTAAGAGTCCATTTGGCAAGTGAATTAATAAATAAAATGTGATATTTACTTATATTGCATTAAGTCATTCTTTAAAAAGGAAATCTTGCCATTTGCCAATATGAATATACCTGGAGACAGTATGTTAAGTGATTTAAGACAGACATAGAAGGACAAACACTATATAATCTCATTAATATGTGAAGTCATAAAAGCAGAGAGTAAAATGGTGGCTTCCAGGCACTGGCAAGTAGTAGGATATAGGAGGTGAAAAAATGTTTGTTAAAGGGTACAAACTTTCAGTTAGAAGATGAGTAAATTCTGAGCATCTAATGTACAGCATGATAACTATAGTTAAAAATACTGTATTATATACTCAAAATATGATAAAAAAGTATTTTTAAGTGCCTACAACACACATATACACACATATACACATTGTGATGGATGTGTTTATTACTTTGACCATGGTAATCATTAAATAATATATACATAAATCATCATTCTGTACCCCTTGAATATATACATACAATTTTATCAATTAAATATTTTAAAATAAAAATAACACTTTCAAAATCAATATAAAACACTTAGCACAATGTTACCCTTAAAATCACCTTTAATATAATTTATAATGGAATCTTTTACTTGTCTTAACTAGTGACATGTGATCAAAGTGACAGATAAAACAAGGCTGAGCATCAAATTCAATAACATCAGTTACTTTTAAATAATAACTCTTTAACTTTAAAATGTATTGTTTTTATAGAGAATCCATTATAATGAAAATCAAGTGTATAGTCATAATTTTGTCATACTAGAATTCTGCTTTATTAGCAAGTTCTTGCACATAGTAGACATTTTATAGATAATTAATATTTTTAATTTCATATAACTTGAATATTGCTAAGACCTACAAACTGTTTTGTAACTGGGATTTTGATGAAGTAATATGCCAAACAATTCTTAAGAAATCAATAAACATTTTCAAAAACACTCTCAACAATCAAAGTAGATAAAATTAGTATTACATTATCATTAACTGAGAACTATCTGTCATAAAATACGTACTGAATTCCCTTTCCCTGTCTCATCTACTTGCTGATCATAAAAATGCTGAATCTAGGTGCTATATCAAAATCTAAAATTAACATAATCACATTTTTAAGTTACATTTCTTTCCAGTCAAATAAAATCACTTTAGGTCAATTACCCCCTTTTAGTTTTCTAGATGGAATCAATAAATGGTTGGTGAGATGGTTTTAATAGTTTTAGAACATGCCAGAAAATACACACACACACACACACACACACACACTGTGACCAGCATAACCCTAAATGTGGATTTGCATTGACTGCTATAGGATGTATCTTACTAAAACATCACATTTGTTAGATTCTGTCAAGATATAAGTAGTTTCTCCACAATACTTTCTCCATTCATAAACAACAACGTGTCAGCATCCTTTGTGTTTTGCAAGTCTTATGTGACCAACTGAAATGTCTCATTGTTGCAGAACAAATAAGGGTTACTCAGAGGAAAGTCTACATATAATGCACTCTCTCCACCTTGTTTATATGTGTATTCTTTATGTATATATAGTCAAAGAATATATATTATTTATATTGAAAAGTAGTAAGAAACTATGGGTATAAAAATCACCCATAATTTTACGATATTAGAAGAAAATACAGATGGAGAATGTATGCCAGTGGTAGAACATTTGCCTAGCCTGTGTGGTGTGAGGCCCTGCATTCCATACCTAGTGAAGGGGGTATGGGGACTACATGTATCAAAATGTTAATGTTTATCTCTTAATGGTAAAATTTAGTGTTTTTTTTAATTCGATCTTTTTTCCCCAAATGGATTTTTTGTTGGTTGATTGGATGATTAGTTGATTGGCTGCCTGGCTGGCTTTTACAATTCTTTCAGTGATCTTTATCAGAAAAACAGTAAGTTATTTTTTTCTTTTTTCCTTTTTTTAACATAAAACTATTCCACAGATAGCCAAGACAAGAGATTTTAATGGTGGTGTCTCCATAGTCATCTGGTATCCATTTCATACCAGATATTAGTATTTTAGCCTGCCAAAGTGGATAATTAAACCTATCATCAGCAATGCTCATGATTTGTAGTAAATGTCAACTCATGCTAAGTAAAAATGTGTACCTCCCTCTCTACTGTTTATCTCACAGAAAAAAATAAGCAGAACATTTTAAAATGGCCAGAGGTAAAAATCAGTGTAGTTTCACACAGAGTTAAACTTTGAGTGTATTGAGTCCACAGAAAAAAGTTATTTACTATGTATGGTATAAGTATAAAGGGAGTTCCCTCACAAATTTTAGGTTAAGGATAAAAAAGTTATATCTATATCATTGTATAAGTTTCTTCAACTCTGCTTTAAGAAAATCCAGTACTCAAAATCTGGGTAAGTCAGAGAATCATTATGTATATTATCAAAGGATTATTCACTTTATGAAAGACTTTATCAAAGAATTCCTTTAAGCAGCTGCTTTTATCATGCATTTTGATATTTTAAAGATAGTTTCTATTTGACAAATGAGTCATCGTGTCTCTGAGCAAGTGAAAGGTGGCTTTAACCACACTACCTATCTCACTCACTATCAAACAAGATAATTTATAGATGGTTACTTTGAAAATTATATATACACACTCATACTGCTGTTGCTGTTAAAAGATCATCTGGTGAAAATTTTTCAGAATTGTATTATTATTACTAGATACATCTCTTTATACATTTTAATACCACTTTATTAAAAGGAAAATTTTAGATGTCATATTCTTATATAAAAATCAAATCTTTCTTTGGCTCATTAGTTTTCCATGTTTTTAGTTCTTCTACCATTGTTGCACATTATAATTTCCATGATATTAGTACCTGAATTATGAGAGGCTCCAGCAACTTCTCTACAGTAAATGTTTGGACCTGAAGATCCTGAGGATCAATATTCAGTGTGATTGGTGATTCAGCTGACATATTGCCTGTGCACAAGTATACAAAAACAATGTTCATTAGTTAAGAAAGATATTTTCTAAAGACAAGCATAAATGAAAATTAGGAAACAGTTGAAACCTGTATTTGGCATCTCTTCCAGATATCATCTATAGCTCACAAAGGACTACTGTGTCAGATATTCCCCAACTGTTCTCTGAGATCATGTTATCTGGGCTTAGATGCCCTCACAAATTATCTACACTCATAAATTCATGACTAAATTAAAAACTCAACAAATGCAAAAGATGTGTTATGTCTCTACTTATTGTGGAGGTCACTTATTTGAGGATCTTGATTGTGGAAGAACATTAGGAGAAATTTATTTTCTGATATGATTTAGCATAGCTATAAAAACTGAAAAGGCATTGATATTTAGACAAGACAAATTTTAAAATAATAATTATTATTATAAGTCATTTAAAGAATGGCTTTAAAGGCATTAACATTATCCTTAAGAATCAATTTTGAGATATTTTGCATAAAAGTGTATACGTTCTTAAATATATAATCAAGTGATCATAGGTGGCATATCATAACATATTCACATTGACATTCACATTAATATATTAGTCATTAAAGCTATTACCCAAATCACTAAGCCCACAAATGAATACGAACCTACATCAGTAATCAACCAGTAAGCATTTACTGAAGATCCACAGAAATAAAGAGAAAAAATCTCTCCTAAATATAACTTAACCCATTTTTTAAAACAAAAAACCAATAACCCACAGAAACATGTACCTATCAATGGAAAACCTTTCCACTTAGCTTCTACCTATTTTCTTCCACAATTTCAGGCTAAGAGAGCATAAAATTCTTTCCCCAGAAAATGTCCTGATATTCCCTATGAAACCCATAGAAATAAAAACAAAAAGTAAATAGAAAGTATCATATTTACTTTAGTTTTAATGTTTCTTATTATAGACATAGGGAAGATCATTTCTTTTTAGTTGATTAATTGGCTATAAGTGGACAGATGGATGGATGGTTAGATAGATAGATGAGCACATATTTTCATAGTGTCTCTCTTATACAGAATAAATCCCTTAAATTATCCTCTCAATCTTAATGATTCTAGGAAGAAGAATTATTCTCTTTCCTATACCTGTCTTTCACACCTAAAGAATATATCAGAACCTCAGGGCAGAGCCCATGTTCTCTCCAAATTCCCTGCCCTGATAGTCTTACCCATTCTCCTCCATTTTTCATCTCTCCCTGGCCTCATTCCATAAAATCATCACCTCTTTGTTATCAACCTCTCCCCGTCTACTGGATCCTTCCCTTGTATCTATAGATGTAATATTGTGTATACTCAAAGACATTCACAATCTCTGCTACACCCATGTGAAAGTGAAAAGATCAGTGCTTCACCAATGCCTTTCCAAACTATTCACCTTATACACATGTAGTAAAAGAGAGAGATAAAAAACAAAGAAGCATCCTCATTGGCTCTTGACATACTCTAATTCTTAAATTAATATCTTAAATGAATACCTTAAATAGAGGCAAATATTGTAGAATCTATAAGCCTTAAGACTCTTCAGATATGATGCCACATGATTACATGCCACTATTTTCTTAATACAAAAAGTGGATATTTGAAATATTCTTGAGAGTAATATGAATCTTCCAAAAAGCTGTCCCTAGTAACTTAACATAGTATCTGTTCATAATCAAGATAGTGAATTTCAAATATAATAATTCTTTCATGTGTCTTCAGCAAAGTTTAATATTAAAAATAAAGACAATTATATTGAAAGTCTCAAACCAACTGATTATGACAAATTTAATAATATATAAAAGCATTTCAGTACAATTATATGCTTCAGGATTTTCTATACTATTACAAACACTAATGTATACTATCACTTCATGTATAGTATCAAACCATTTTCCAGTCAATTATAATAAGAAATTTGAAGCGGGGGAAAAAAAAGACAATTTATATATTAAGCATCCTAGGGTTACTCTAAACATTTTTTCTTTTTTTT